GGGCTCCATCAGAGCCGGAAGCTGATGGGAGTTGGGAACACCTGTTAGAATCTGCCTTCTTAGAAAACCTCAGAGACTTGAAATTTCATTTGTGTTTTGAAAAACCTAATGCCAGAGCTACAAAAGGCATCAGACTCTGGCTTCCCACATGACAGATCTGTTCCATGCTGACTTCCCACAGAAGACTGGAACACAGTCCAGCTTTTGTTCAGTGTGTCCTTTCAGAGGCATTGACTGGGAAGGAAATCTGACAGACTGGAGAAAACTTGGCTAGGAGTTACTCATCTTTATTTAATAGTAATTGGCAGGTTTCTTTCATACACCTACGAGTCCTTGGGCTCTTGATGGTTTGGGACATGGTCATGCCTACTTGAGGGAGAAATTCCTGAAGTTCATTCAGTCCTGATCAGCATGACTCAGGGGAAGTAGCAGCCTCCTAAAAGGGCATGTCCTGTCTTTCAAGGATTCTTAGTAGTTCCCAGCCCAAGGGATTGCCTGCAACACATCAGGCTGAACTATTTTGGTACCTGGCTGGCGTCTCTGGGTGTGTCGTGGTGGTTGTGTGGCTGCAGCCAGCAGTCTGCAGGAGGAACAGAGAGGGAAGTGTTCAGATTTTGCAGAGTTTCAGCCCTGCAGGCACTGCGTGGAGCTGCTAATGCTTACAAAGTGGCTGGGTAAAAGGGTGTAATCGAGTGAGCTGTGGGCAGAGGAAGAGTTCTTAATTGCAACCGTAGAAGGAGTTGGCAGCCTCGGTGGCTGATAGTCTTCCTCAGGTGAGATTGGCCTCCTCAGGTATGCAGAGCTCTGTCAGGCCATGGGTGAGGAGCCATGGCCCAAAACAAGCTGATGATAGAAAAATTTCCTTGGCCATGGGCTGATGGAATCATCAGCATCCGTGCCCATGCATTAGTGTGTGCTAAATCATGGTCTGCTGCTGAAGTGGACATCAGCTTCCTAAAGTTGTCTGCTTTGGGGAGCTGCAGCAGAGGAGGAGGGAGCTTGGTAGTTCCCAAACAGGCCCTGCTGTAGCTTTTCTTGGAGGTTTCATAACAGAATTAAGCAATTTATGTTGCATGTTGCCATGGAGACTGTAAATCACTGTCATGCTGGCCTTCTCAGTGAGCGAGCTGGTGTCTTTAATTGCACTAACCTGCCCTACAAATCCAGGGCTTGGTTCTGAGCTTGGTGACCTTCTGTAAAGGCCTCACCCTGGGAGCTCAGCCTTCAGGACAGGAGAGCAGAAACCAGGGAAAGGGGTGCCAGCATCAAATATCAACTATCTGGGGTCCATTTTATTCTTTATTATTCTCTTATGTGGCCACAATTCTGCTCAGAAGCTGTGCTTGGACCCACTTGCATTCAGGGCAAGTTTTGTAATGAGGGAGGTGGGGATTAGATACACTACCTACATTTTGTGGGCCAGTCATACAAACTAAAATGAATTTGGTGTTTTTATGTTACTTGGCTGCTCCAAGGGGATAGCTCAGCCCTTCGACTGCACCTCCATGTCCAGACAGGTAAATGGGATTTTATACAGTTTATTCCGCCTCCTAAAAGAAAATACTTTTTGCTGAGGAAGCTCAGTTTCAGTGACACCCTTGGACCAATGTTTCTTTTTTCTTCCCATCCACCTACCCCAGAAGCAGCCACACTTCTGACTGTCTCAGCATTACTGGCTTGTGCTGTCAGGCCACCAGTCTTGCCAGTGTGTGTGAAGATGGTTGTATGAATGGCTGTAAAAATCAGCCTCCTTGCAGTGACTAAACCAGAGCCCTGACGGCATTTACCAGTGTAGGGTATGGATCACTCTCTTGGCTCCCTCAAAATAAACAACTATATAAATTGTAAGATGATTATCAGCAGACCTTATTAGTGTATTACCACATGCTGCTTTGTATTCAGACAATAGATAAAAACATTAGTGCTTCACTTTTCTCAGTCAGATCTACAGCAAACATGCTTATTCTTGCTCCCATCTGAGGAGGACTGTGTCAGTACTCTTGCCAAAAACACATGAAAATTAGCCCAAGTCTTTTGCACTTGCCTGTAGCTCTGTGCACCTTTGGGAGTGTTTAGTCTTTTCCAGGAAATGATATATGTTGTTTTAAAGGTTTGAATCATGAGCTGGTTAAGTTCATAATCTTGTCAAGGCATGAGTTGTCTTCGTGCTTTGGTTATCAGGGCAGATGGAGGGGCAGAGGGATAGAAGTGCCTGAGTTTCTGAAGGTTTTCTTTATGTGCATGCATGGCTGGAGCATGGGACCTGCCATCTCAGTAGAAAGAGGAGTGTTTCCATGAGCAGCAGAAACAATCCTGCAGAAACATGAAAACTTGCTGCCTTTTGGCACTCTGAAGTTTTCATCTCTTGTTCTAGCATCACCTAAAATACAGGGAATTGTGCTCAACAGACCAGCCTACGGTTCTTGACTTTTTTTTTTCCCAGTTGTTTTTTTTTCAGTTCAGTTCTTGCTGTTTTCCCCAGGCTATGTAAGAGTCAGTCTGGTGGTTCAGACACACAGCATGACCAAACTTCTGGAAACAACGGGAAGCAAATGCCCCGATTCAGCCGATAAGCATGCTGGGCAGAGACACAGTTTGTACAATGGGCTAAACATTATCCTAGCACTTTGGGGAGCATTTCATGCAAGATAAGCTTGAGGCTTCTTAGGAGTGGGTTAAAGGGCTGGCACAAAATGTCAGTAAAAATGTAATGCTTGTTGCCAAGCAGCAGCTTGTGGTTTTGTGAGGAGGTCAAAAATCGTGCACAAACGGAGTATGTTTTTCACATCCACAGACTGTCCCCTGCCATGTCAGTAACAATCAGTCTTTCATTCTGCCTGGCTGGAGCTGCTCTGCTGTGTAAAGAAGGATGGGGTGAAATTTTGGCCATGGGCAAAGCAAAAAATTGTCATTAACACTGTTGGAAGGAAAGGCAGAGTTTTAGCCAGGGTCTGTGTCTCAAAAAGCCTGTGAGGATCATCTGACCCCAGAAGGATTACACAAAAATAAAACTTGGTATTTCAAGCAAAAATAAGACATTTAGTTGAAATTCATTGGTTTTTCAGTAGCCCAGCCTGCTGTGTATTGATGTGTGGTCTCAGAAATATGAGAAAGTGGCTTACTCAAAAATAAGGCTAAGAAACTTCCTTGGGGTTGTTGTGAGGAAATGCAGTGAGACTGTTTGAAACCTCAGCTGGTTTGGTCTTCTCCCCATCCAGCAGATGTTGCTTGCAGTGGAAGTTCTTGCTATTCTCAATTTCCTCCAAAGGTGGTTTAGAAACAAGCAAACTTGATCATGCTTCTTGCTCTGAAAATGTGTCTGGTCTCGATTTGGACAAGAGGCCTTTGCTGTTCTTGGACTCAGAAGCCTCGTCCTCTGTTTCCTTATGGGCTTTTCTTTTTAGAGGTGGTATGGGGTCTCCAGTGTACTGAAAGAACACTTTTGATGACCAGATCAAAAGTGCTTTTAAGATTCAATATTTTTGGTTAAACTGAAGTAATGATTATGGAGAAAGGGACTAGAGAAATCAGAAACTAGATTAGGGGATTATGTTTTTGTGTTTTCACAAGACCACAGTCAGCTTCTGTGGCACAGAGCACATCAGACTTGCTTGGTGGTATCTGAGAATGAAAAAGTTGTCTTTTTAATGAAAAAGAAATCCCTGGGGTTATTGGGATAGCCTCCAAAAGCTTGTGTTGCTTGGTGGGGGATACAGGTTGGGAGCCAACAGTTTATGGAGGTACCCTCAGAGCAGTCTTGGTCCCACCTCAGTGCTGACCCCAGCCAGTGCCTGCAGCCCAAAGGACACCAGCAAAACCAGAATGTCTGGGAACAGGTGCCTGCAGAAAGTGTCACCACAGCTGCTGCTGCACTGAACAGTATTTTCAAGAAAACCAATACCAGGAAAATCAACTGCCTTGTCTTCAGCCTTATCATTATGATGGATATTTTTTTTCTCTTTAAGTGTGTGAAAGACCTCCCAGAAAATGCAACGGTCATTCAGATCTGGGAGATGGCCACCTGTTTCCTCTGAGATCTGAGTCAGTATCACTGCTGCCCAAGGGTGGGTGGAGGGCACTTACATGCACAGAACCTCCTGTTTGCCTTCTCCTTAAATGAGCAGTTTCTGCTGCTGAGTGTTGAAATGGGTCAGTCAGCAACGGCTGCCTCTTCTCCCTTCTCCACAAACCTGTGCTGTTGCCCAGTTTTGGCCAGGAAATTTTTTTTCATTTTTCTTTCAGGAGGTAGCTCTGAGGTGAGGGAAGCAGTGTGACCATGCTGCTGGGAAGCTGCTCTCTAGGCTGTGTCACAGCCACAGGCACCAGCCTTCCTGCCACAGCAGGGTTGAGGGTTTGAAAAAAAGGCAAAACAAAAACCACCTGTTATTCCTGGCCTGCTGCCTTCTTGGTTTTATTTCTCAAACTTGAAAGTGAGAGAGAAGAAAGCAGCTAAGTGCATTTTTGTCTGCTGGCAGAGCCAGGCTTGAACCTTTACCTCCAGTTTCACCCATCACCAGCAGCTCTGCCTGCAGATCTGGCCCTAGGATGTAACACACCATTTAATGGTTGCTATACCTTGGGTTACGCAGTGAGGAATAGCACAACTCTGACTTATCAATGGGATTTGGTCACTGGCAACAGGAAACTGTTAGGAGCTTGATAAGTGCACTGAGCCAGGGTGATTTTGTCATTGCTGTAGGAAAGGCACCAGCCCCTGTAGGAAAGGCATTCAGTAGCATAGGTGTTGCATGTGCATTTGGTGACAATTAGCAATGCTTGCAGACAAACAAGGCACAGTGGGGGAGATGTCCGCACTTGTAAGCACTGGGTGTGAGTTGCAGTAGAGCTGTTGGGAAGGGTTGATGCTGCTGCTCCTGTCCAAAAGGATTTTGGATGTCAGAGCTGCCTCATTCTCAATTCTTAGGCAGCAGGTAAAAGCTGCCTAGTGCATATTGCCCTCTTGTTGTTGCTGAGTGATTGGAGATGATCTCTCTCTCCAGCAGGTGCAGCACACTGGCAGCATGGCTACAAGCGCCGTTCCCAGCGAAAACCTGCCCACGTACAAGCTGGTGGTTGTTGGAGATGGTGGTGTGGGCAAGAGTGCTCTCACTATTCAGTTTTTCCAGAAGATTTTTGTGCCAGACTACGACCCAACTATTGAAGACTCCTACCTGAAGCACACAGAAATAGATGGGCAGTGGGCAATTCTTGATGGTAAGCAAGCCACTCTCATGATCCCCTTTCCCTTCTAGCTGAGCACAATTGCAAATAGACCTCAGTGTCTCCCACAGTGTGTTGTGTCTCTGTCCCTCCTGCTCTGCTGGGGCTGGCAGGATCTGGAGCTGCAGTGCATGGTCTGCAGCTGGTCTCCAGCAAAGTTTCTGCTTCCAGTTGCTTTGGTTCCAGTTCTGCACAGAAGTGTTTCTTGCAGGCCTGTGAAAACCTACAGATCCTCATTGACATTTGGAGTAGGCTTCTGCAGCCCTGCCAGGTGGCTGTTGCTAATGATACTTCATTGAGGCTGAACTTATCCCCTGGGAAATAACTGTGAGTGGGTAACTGAGAGTGGTTATAACCAGAAAGAATATTTAATCAAAACTGTTGTCCACTGACAGTGAAGAATTTTTACAACTCTTAAACTCAGTCATTCAGGATGATGTTTTCATGTTTAATTACCTGTCCCATTTCAATATGGTTAGGGTAGCAGCCTGGAGATCTGTTGTAACCAAGTTTTCAGCTCTTTGAAGAAAACTGCCTTTTTTTTTAAACAAAACAATAACAGTGAAACACACAGGCGGAAAAAAAAACCCACCAAAAAAATGCAAAAAAACCAAACCAAAAAAAAAAGCCCCAAAAAAATCCCCAAACCAACCACCTTGATTAGCAGGTGAGGAGAAAGACCTGTATTGCCTAAAGCTGCAGCTTTTTCATTTATGCTTCATGAAGCAGACTAACTAGAGCTACAAAGGGAGTCTTTGCTCTTAAATGTTACAAGTTTTGTTTTCCTTTGTAGAGTAATTAGGTAGTACATAAAATCTAACAAGTATTTTCTGCCTTAATTACCCAAGTTTATGTATGTTGGTCTGGAAACCTGAGATCTTAGTTGCACTCTTTAGGATTTATCAGATACAATTTAGTCAGTACAAATGGCCACAAAGTCCTTAAAAGAACAGCTTTTATTCATATTAAAAAAACAAAACCTGCAAACAACAAAACCAGTTAATCTTGCCAACATTTGTTCATTTGAATATGTTAACAGTTGATATGAGGCAGTATTTGTGAAATTGGTGCTGAAATGTCTCTTCTTGTCATCTGCCTTGGAGATATCTGCTCCCAGTTAATCATCTCATAATGTAGACATCTACCTTTATTATTAAAATGTCAGTCCTGTATAAGAGAAAAATCCAGTCCTGCTGTAAATTTAATTCATTATTTTGAGTCCAGAATCCAGTCCTCTAAAATGTGTGACCTTTATCTTCACTGGTATGCCCCATGTTGTGATATATATATATATATATATATCAGCTGCTGTACCTGTTGATGTTAGCTGAAACAGCCTTGGTTTTGCAAATTATTGAAAAGGCATCTTTTACTGAATACTTGGAATTGTTGTTTATACAAAACAAACAAACAGAACTTCAACAAAAAACCTAACTGAACCTGATCTGAGTGGGAGTGATGAAAGAAACTGTTTTCCAAGGAGCAGAAACTTAACCCTTTGTTTTAATGAAAAAGCATTTCTTTTGCTCAGATGGGCTTAATGGCTGTACTTGGGCTGAACAGAATTCAGCTGTGACCTTGAATGGCATTTTGGGAATCCCTGACTTCCAGGGCTTGTGTGCCCACAGATGCTTCACAGCCAGAGAAGTGAAACTGCAGCTGCTTCTCTTTCCTACCACTTGAGATTTTGAACAATCACAATTTTGGAAGAAAGACAATATTCTTGTCTGAAAAAGGATGTGACCCTTCTCCATCTGCCCAAAAGAAACAGGGCACCAGGACTGACTAACACTTGTGTCATTTGCCTCAGCTCTCTGTCACAGGCTTTGGATCTGGGCCATTCTCCGAGGTCACCATATCCTGGGACAGCTGCTCTGCTGTGGCTGCATGAATCACTTATGGGATAAAATTAGGGACAAACATGATAGGTAGGGTCAGGATGCATCATGATAAATCCTAGACTTTCCAGTTGTTCTTTATGACCAAAGCCTTTACAAGCTGAGGTTTCATGCAGTGCTTGGTGGGCAGAAGCAGCTGCCCACCTCCAAAATAGGAACTAGTTTTGGAACATGAACAACCAAATAAGGATATAGCATGAGGGGCTCTATAAATTTTGAAATTGTCAGAAACAGTTATTATTTAAAAAAAAAAAAAAGACTTACATAGACATCCAACAACTTTAAAAAAAAAGGGAAACAGCCCACCCTTTTCCAGGCTGTTGCCTGAGCAGTTCTGTACAAAGCATCTCAAGCATTTTGTAACTGCACCAGCATTATGTTGTAAAAAAACCCTTCTGCTAGCCAGCTTGCATAAAGCATTTGGCTTCCCTCCATGAAGACCTTCACCCACATTTATTCAAGAGCACTAACTGCCTGCATGATGAAATGTTTGACTTGCATTTTTTTCTTTAGCTGAAATCTCTCTGTGAAAGTAGACTGAAATGGAATAGGGTTCTGTTTTAAATCTTGGAGCAAAAGCTACATTCAAAATCTTCCTTTACCTGTTAGTTCTTTGGCTTGGGCATGTCTCTGTTTTTCTCACTAGGAGTTGTCTGTGATAGTTCCCTGCCTCCCAGAAGATTGTGGGGCCTGTGTTTGTTGTGTGTGTTCCACACTATACAAACCCACTTTGTTGTTGACCTTATGCCAGCTTTAGAAGACCATCAATGCAGTGTTTGGAAGTGTTGTAGAGTGGAAGAGGGCACTTAACCTGAATCAAAGATGCGCAGGCAATTTGTGGCTAGCCCATTTTTTGGTTGCTGCCACTCTAATGAGGCTTTAGGACCAACCTCCAATTTTCTCTGCATATGTCATCTTGGTTTATTCCCTGCTGGTAGTGCTGAAATCAGCACAGTGCTGTGTTCAGTGAAATGCACAGAGGTGCTGTAGAGACATGAGGTCAGAATTAAGTGGGGGCCAGGGTTAATGTGCTTTGATTAGCTCTTGCTCCAGTTGCATTGCTGTGATTAATTTTGCACACTCCTTTCTGTGTGCAGGCTAATTTAGCAAGTAGCAGAGGATTTCTTTTGGTGTGGCTGCCAAATGCCAGTCTGGAATTATTAATCTGGGCATGAAGCCAAAAATGGAATACCTTGATATGGCAAAAAGTTCCCTATGGTTCAGAATTCCTTATGGCTCATACATCACACAGAGATAAAAAGGTGGCAAGCAAAGGGAGATGAAGACATAACCACAGGCACATGGTTTGGTCTTGTTGGGAATTAGGCTGATCTCTTAGCTGTCAGTAGGGCTGTGCCAATTGGTACAAGCCAAACACGGAATTGTGTTGGTGAAAGGAAGCTGTGGTCTCCATTCTCTCCCTTTCCTTTTCCTGGTATGATTTTGATGAAACTCTCACAGCCTAGAAGTTGTCTCTCTGCTCCTGAGGTTGTTTCCCTTCCAGTTCTCTTCCCAAGACCTCCTCCCAGTCCTGGGGTGCCCTTGTGCTGGGTTGGACCTGCACAGCCTGGTGTGCACCCGTGTGCACTCACACCAGGCTCCATTCCTTCCCCCACACTCTGTCTGCCCTTCCCACCTGTCTATCCCTTGCATCCCTTTTTGTGGAGGGTTTTTGCTGCTGGTCATCCTTGGGCACACAGGAAGTTTTCTGTTGGAAGTCCCTGCTTTTCTTCTGGGAAACTTGAGATCAACTCAGCCACGAGGCCAGAGGGAGGTCAAAGGTCACTTCAGATTTGCAGGCAGAAGGGTTGGTTTGTGGCTTTCTTTTTTTTTTTTTTTTTTTTTTTGTTAATTTAGAGTAGCATCACTGAGAGCATTAAAATTCAAGTTAAATTTGTACTTCCATTATTTTATTTGTGTATCCAGTATTTGCCCTCCTTTAATTGCTGGGATTTTGCAACAATGAAAGAGGGGGTTTTGTCTTGGGTTGGATTTTTTTCCTGCCAGGAAAATTTTGATGTTGCAACATGGAAAACACAAGGCTTTGAATACTTGCCCTTTGTTAGAGAAAGGGCTCCTTTAAGGGCTTGCATCTTTTTTCTGTTTATTGATGTGGAAACCTGTCTTCTTTTTGCTTAAAGAAAGGGCAAGAATTCAAGTACTTGGGTTTTCCATGTTATAACATCTGTGTATTTAGTTAGGGCACAGAAGAAGGGCTCATAAAAGCCCCAGTGTTTTCCTATCATGTGTTTTTTGCTGAGGAAAGCTGTCATGCCAGGGGCAGCACGGCTGTGTCTGAGAAGGAGCAGAAGCATCAGAGTGACAGAGTGAAACATCTGCCTTGCTTTGCACATGGCAAGGGCACCTCATACCTCTTCAAGGTGACTTGGGGTGTGGGGACACAGAATAGGAGCTGTGACCCCAGTACCCCATCCCTGCAGTGCCCAGAATGCCAGTTCCTCAGCTGAAGGCAGTGCCCTCTCCCATGGTGCTGCTGATGGAAGACAGAGACCATGGAGGTGGCTTTGCTCAGCCTGAGGCTTGTTAGTTTGACTTGGCAATTCAGGTTCAGTTTTCCCATGGTCTTATGTACCAAGCTGCAGGGCAGTGAAACCCAAAGGCTGAAGGACAGAAAATGGGTTCACGTGCCTGTCAGTTCATCTTTATCCCCTCTAGATGCCATGGACAGTGGAGAAATCTCTTGAGGTGACCTATACACCCAGCTGCCTGGCAAGGTAAAGATGTATGAGGACATTTTGCCTAGATATGAAAAGAGAAGAGCTCACTTGCACAACCAGATCTGAGCTCCTCGAAGGCTGGGAATGCTGTGTTTGATCTGAATCTAGCCTAGGCTCCAGAAAAAGCAATGCTATTGCTGGCTTAGAGTTCACAGTGTGTCTCTGCCCTTGGTTTAGGTTCACCAAGTGCCTTTGTCTCTGGATGGCCACTTGGAGCACTGTCAGTTGCAGAGACATTGCCACATGTACACCTTGAAGCACCAAGGGCTTCTATTTTGGACCACAAATTCCTGTATATTCCTGGGCTCCTGTGCCTGCTCAGAAGTGCTCTCTAGGCAGCTGCACTCTTGCATAACCCATCAGGATTCACAGAAAAATGGTATGGAGAGCTCTAAAGGGGCAGGATTCAATTAGCAGGGAGTTCATCACAGCAGCTGGGGGTCACATCCACTGGAAACTCGAAAAGGCCATCTCTTCACTCAGCAACCTCTTACCTGCAGAGCAAGAGACCTCCCTGCTGGGCTCTCACAGCCTAATTGCTCTTAGTTTAGTCTCCAGCTGGTCTCATGATAGCTCTAAATGGCTTTGCCCTCTTTGGATGTCTGTTCCTACATCATACATCATCCTTGGCTTCTCTCTCCTTCAACTTACCCAAATGCTTTCATAATTGCTCCTCCATGCTTCTTCAGTCAAATTTGTGAGAAATTCACAAAGTTTTCTGTTGGAAGTCCCTGACTATGTACAGCCTATGAGTCTGATTTCAGTTCCTGGAAGAATGAGGTAGGAGAAACCCACTGTGCTTTGGTCCTTGTTTCCATGCTGGCATTTATGTGCTGCCAGTGGGGCAACTGGTGGTTTAAAGTGTACCAGCTCACAGTTCTCTACTCATGGTTCTTTCTGTCTTCTGCCATCCTGTCTGTAGAAATAGCAATTTTAAAAGAAGGTGAATGCTGGCTAATATGCTAAATCTTCTCATCCCTTTGGGAAGAAAATCACCTTCTGAGCTACCCCTTCCCAAGTTTCTCCTTGCTCCTTCCCACTTCTATAGGTAGGAGTTGTCTTGAAGCTTTTATGCCACAAGACACCACAAGCAAAGCCACTTACATCTGGCCCTTTTTTGGTGCTGATGTTTTTCAGGATGGGGTCCTTCCCTACAAAGGATCCAGACCCCTCTCCTCTGTTGTTTACAATTCACAAAGCACAGAAGTGTTAGGCTGGGGGTTTGCCTTAATGAAGAGTACATTTAAAGTTAAGACAAGGTCTTTGTGTGGCCATCTACACAATGCTTAACTTTGTATTAATAATCTTAACCTTCACTGCTGTGTGTCTTTTACTTACACTTTCAAATTGCCATTTTAAGTGCTGCCTGGACTTGCTCACCTTTTTATCAATGCTGTAAGTGAATTCCCTTTGAATAACAGCTGCTGACACAGCAGCTCTGCCTGTGTTTAGTGTGATGGCCAAGATCCAGGCAAGGTAGGAGAGCCCCATGCACTGGGGTATCCCCACAGCCCCCACCAGGGCTTGCCCCCTCTCCCAGGGGTGCAGAGCTTTGGAGGGGCACCAGCTGGGGATGGGTTGATGGGTGCAAAGGCACAGCTGGATGCTTCTTATGTGTTTCATGAGAAGTTGGCAAATGTGCCAGAGCAAGGGGAAGTCCCTAAGCAAGTTACCATGCAGGATACAGCACATCCATCTCCACCTTCCTGCCCACAGCTTGTGCTGGGGCACCTGCCCTGTCTCAGGGGGAGGGAGGGCAGGAGGGCTCAGCTCTCAGCAGGGATCTCTCCCACTCTCCCACAAGTTGGGTTTGTGTGCTGGCTGTCAGCTCTCAGCCCTGCCCTGACACCGTGTCTAGCTGCTGCAGGAGTCAGATGAGGGCAGCCCAGCCTCTCTGTACAAGTTGGGCAGGTAGGAGAGATTAATTTCCTCTTCTGTCCCAGTTCCCTGGCCTTATTCCATGGTACCAGTTCTGCCCAGGGCATAGAAATTTACCAGCACATGCAGTCTCTTTGGGTTTTCTGTTTCCTTTTTTTTTCTTTTTTTTTTTTGTACAGTCCGTAAGAATAGCTGAAATGCCTTTGAGCTGAGATTCTTGTTTCCTAGATTTAGAGGGGAGGAGCAGGATAAAAGGCTATGAAGAGACTCAGGTGACTTTCCAACAATCTTGGCAAATAAGCTTAAATCTCAGGGTCTTTGCAAGAGCCTGGAAGCTCTTTTTACCTTAAGAGTTCATGAAAACAGACTTTCAACACCAGTTAAGGCAGGAGAACAAATGAGGCTGAAGGCTTTAAAGGGCCTGCCAGCACCAAGGAAGGTCTCCAGGTCTTCCAGTGTAGCTGGCTCTCTTCCAGACATGCAGTGGAGGTGTGTGGCTGCTCCTGAGGTGTGCTGTGACATGCAGCATGTCCACCTGTGCTGATGCAGCAAAGTGGTCTTTATCATGGTCCCATCTGGAAACTGGGGCAGCCTGAGCCCTTCCCCTGCAGGGAACACCTTGCTGGGTCTGTGGAGTGGTTCAGACCAGACAAACCTGTATCAAGCCCTGCTGCTCTGTCAGCAGTATGCTCCTGCCACTGTCTCCATCCATGGCTACCCTGGGCTTTCCCCATCACTTGTGGGCAGCAGATGTTTACACCATGGCTGTACAGCAGAGGCAAAACAGTTTTCCCACCCAGCCCAGTTGACTGGGATGTGAAAATTCTCCCAGTCAGCATGAAGGTCCCCTGTTTGCCTCTGGGGTGCAATGATGCATTAGGACTGGTACTTCTGAGCAGCCAGTGCACTCTGAGTGCACCCCATGTTGGTACTGGCGTAGCCTAAACTGGTGAACTCCTCTGGTACCCTCCTCCTGGCTGTGCACAAAGCTGGGGCTCAGGAGCTAGCACTGATGTGTGTATGTGGTGTTTACCCAGAAGGCTGGGGTTGCTTGTTCCACAAGTGATGGGACTCCCTGCAAGACAGATCCATGGAGAACCAGTGAGTTATGATTCCATTAAGTTTAATCTAGTGGGGAACAACATCTGAGTGGCTGTCACAACTGAGGTGTTTTAGGGGATTTAAGCATGGATTTATTCACAGAAATGTGATCACTGTATTGGATGTGCTAGGTACTTAAAGCTTTTCCATCTGTTTAATTTACCTCCTTAGTATCAGCACACCATTTGAGACTAAATATTTAAGGGGAGTTCTCCAAGGCTCACTCTGAAAGGACAAAATGGTCTAGTAACAATATCCAGGTGTTGAGAAAAGGAAAATGCTTGTAGCCTTTACTTTGGGTTGTCTCCCAGCTCTGCTTCACCATGCATTTAGTAGGTTATCCCTGACATTTAAACTGGCTTTTAGCTAACCTTCCAGTCTTGGGTTTTCTTTTCTGGGAAAGGGAAAAGTTGGGAGGGCTGTGAAATACTTTGAGCTGTATCTTGCCAGAGGAGCAACTCTCCAAATTCAGTGATCTGTATTTGGTACTGGAAAAGGAAAATGAAATCCACGGTGTCCTCTTCCCCTGCTCCCAACTTAGGCATACAAGGATGAGTGAGGTCTGGGACAGAAGCCCCCTTGTCAATCCAACTTGATTTCATCACATCTTTGCAGTCTTTGAGGAAGCCCAGCAGAGGCAGAAAGGCCACAGGACACATAGTGGTGCCAGCAGCTACAGGTCCCCCACAATAATTAAAAACCTTTGTCTGTTCTGTCCTAGTTCTGGATACTGCAGGCCAGGAGGAGTTCAGTGCAATGCGGGAGCAGTACATGAGGACTGGAGATGGTTTCCTCATCGTCTACTCGGTGACAGACAAGGCCAGCTTCGAGCACGTGGACCGGTTCCACCAGCTGATCCTCAGAGTCAAGGACAGGTGGGTGCCACGGGGCTCCCCACCATCCTGGGGGATGGCTGCAACCTGACCCCAGCTTCTGCCTTCTGCATGTCCCGAGACAAATCCTTAGGTGGCATTTGTGGGCCTCAGTGTGGTGAATAAGAAGTGGTTTACTTCTGATAAGCATGAAGGGCTTTCAGTGTGGAAAGGGTCAGTGGTGCTACAATGGAGTGAAAAGATGTCTGGAAGGGAGAAACTTCTGCCAGAGCAGTGTGAGAAAGAGAGATCAGACACCTTTGAAGGTGACCAGCTCAGCTCTGAAGAGGGGGAAGGATGCTCTGGGTACAGTGCAGGCACTTAGGGATCACCAGCAGGGAGCCAGCAAGCATTTCAGCCCTAATTATTTTGTGTGTCTTGGTACCATCTTCCTGTCCCTGGCTTGTGCCAAACACACCTTCAAAGGCCCTGCATTATTTGGGGGTGCGAGCAAGTGTCTTGAAGGGGAAAAAGTTTGTGCTGGAAGGAACTGTATTTCGTACCAGAGATGTAATGTAGTTAATGCACTGTGCTCTGCAGTGAACAATTACACAGAATAAAACATCTGTCTGTGCCTGGGGAGAGGTCACCTCTCTCCTCCTTGCATGTACAGGGGAGAAGGTAGCACTGGGAATTTAATCATGGTAAATAAATGTGTCCTGGCTCAGTGAGGGGAAGCTGCTGCTTTATCTACAAGATAACTCCCTCTTCCCATCCTGGTTCGAGAGGCAATGGATCCATTCTCACTGGGTGGGGTGTGAATTAAGCCCTTATATGTCTGCAGCTTTGAATCACTTAGTTCTTCCGTTCATAATGACTTTTAATTATGGAAGTCATCAAGAAAAGTCACCAGAGGGTTTGGGCCTCGTTGCTGGCTTCCTTTCACAGCTCTGAATAACTTCCCCACAGGAAGGGTGGACTCCTATCATGTGAGGTTCACAGCTGACAGCTCTTCCAGTAAAGCATCCAAAGTGTAACCCACAAGAGTGAAAAGTAAAGGAGAAACCACCCTTTGATTTCATTGAAATGAAGAAGAATGTCAGTCCCTCAGTCAGCCTCCCAAATCACAGCAGCCTCAGCACTGCTGGCTTAGCCTGAGGCAAAGTAAATCTGTTTCTAAAAGTTCAAGGAGACAGGACAGAATTTCCTGTAACCTGCCCCAATCTGATGCTGATTTTATCTAATTTAACTTGGTGAAAATAAGATGTGGTGTTCACTGTTTGCTCTGGACTGAAACTTTTGCCCTCCACATGCGCTGTGCAGTGCTGCAGCAGCGTGTGAGAGGCAGGAAGTGAAACGGGCTGGCGAGGTTGTTTGTGCTCCCTGCTCAGCGCCACTCCGAGCGTGAGGAGCGTATTAATGCTTCACCAAAACCTGAGCTGGGGCAGAAAGTCACAGCAGTGGGAGCAACATGAGTAAAAAGCCTCCTGCTAAACCCACAGGGAGCTGGGAGCAGAGCGTCACCCTGGTTTTCAGTCTGGCAAGCAGTTTTGGCAACTTATAATCCAAAAGAATTGCAGGCTGCTGTGTTAGCAGGGCTGTTCAAAGCCTTCCTCCCATTTTCTTTCCGCAACTTTCATTATAGTAAAATTTCCAACTGTAGCAGCTTTGTCCAACTAGCAGTTGTGCAGCTTACAATAGGGAACAAAGTCCCCATAGAGTTTTATGCCTGATGTAAACAAGGAAAATGATATACCATCCAAAAGTAATCCCTTTCTAATCAATGTGCCGCAAGCCAAAAAGCAATCAAATAATCCAGACAAGCAAATATTTTGCTCCAGAAGGATCAGAGTCAAGATATATCAATGCTCAGGTATTAACATTAAATCACAGTCACATTATCAGAATGAATAACTCTAAGACTCATTTAAAATGCAGAGTGCAGTACGGTATTTTTCCAGCCAGAGCAATGGGGCAACATGCCAGAGGGAAGATGGAGCTCTTATCATCTCGATGAAAAATGACCCAGAAACGCTGTTTAAAAATCCAGAGTTACCAGGGAAGTGTTTTATACAGAAATGAGTATGGCCAGCTGCTCCTTACCCCAGTAAAATCAGCTCTGTTACAGCAGAGAATACTGGGATCATTTAGGAGAACTTAAATGTAGGACAACAATACTGCAGTAAGTGTCAGTGGTCAGAAGGGACCTCCTCTCTCCCAGCAGTGGCCAAGAGGCCCTGCAGCAGCTGATTGCTCTGCTTCATGAAGCCAGAGGACAGAGTGTGGCACTGCCAACACCTCCCATGGCTCCCAGCCTTGCTTCTGTTTATCACTGGAACAGTGGAGCTTTCTGCAGGGGGAGAGGGGGGAGAGCCTTGCACAGGACATGCTGTGGATAAATGGATCTCTTCTCAGGTGGTGGCTGAAGGCAGGCACGTGGTAGTTAAGGAAATATTGAGTATTATTACAGAGAGAGATGGGTTTGGGTTTTTTTCTTGGATTAGAAACAGGAGATGGTAGGTAATAGCACTGGAAGCTTAACAAATCTCTTTGGTTCCTTCCAGCCTCCTTCCAGCTCCCACTGCCAAGCCCAGTTTGTCTTGGGGTAACAGCTGATGGGCATCTCTGCTCCCCCTCATTTGCTCCCCCATTTGATGCCCCTATAAGCACCAGCTCCCAGAGTCCATCTTTCTTCCCCCACAGTTGCTCTCAGTAGATGACCAGGAATGCAATTACTCCAATTCTTCCATCATCCCTCAGTATCTTGCCAAGATATGCAGTTACTGAGATGCCTTAACTAATACAAAAGAGTCCCAGTCTCCTGTCCAAGATCTGTCTTTATGTCTCAGTTGATTTTCTGGCTAATTCTCTAGATCTTTCTTCACCTAGTTGGATCTTCAGGCTTAGTTATCATCAGGCATTGCAGAAATTGTGACAATAAGTTCCTGAAGTCCCTACAAATAAAAAGGAATGTGTGCATGCATGCAACTTGTCAAGTAAATTTTTTACAATGTGAGCATATGTATAGCACAGCCTGGGGGTTTTCTTTTTATTTCTTTACACATATGTGGTACGTCTGTAGCTGAATATGTTAGGTTATGTCAGCATCAAAAAGTGAAATTTATGCTCATAATTTTTGTTGTAGTGTGGTAATAATTGGGTGGTGGTTTTGATTTTTTCCAGGGAGTCTTTTCCAATGATTTTGGTGGCAAACAAAGTTGATCTAATGCACTTACGGAAAATTACAAGAGAACAGGGGAGAGAAATGGCAACAAAACATAACGTAAGTTTGCAGGATTATTTAATGGCTTATTGAAAGTCCTATTACAGGCATTCAGAATCGAAAGCTGTGCTCATTAGGGGCTGCATTAAAGCTTACAATGAAACATTTGTAAATACATCTTTGACTACTACAAAGTAGCAGTTCTGCAGTTTCCTTCCAGTAGGGCCAGTTCATCACTGAAACCAGAACCTCTGCTGTGCACCAGGCTCTAGGGGAACTGTGGCCATCACTGAGACTTCTGGACAAGGTGTCTGAAAGTGCTGAGAAGTGTTCAGGATGAGAGAAGAAAGTTCACTTCCCTGGAGTGAAAAGGCAGAGTCAGGCATTAGAAGGTATATCCAGGTGCCTGAGCTTGTTAAAGATAATGAAGTTAACAGGGTTGTTAAGCCTATATAAATCTGGCCCACCATCTCAGCTCTGCATTATTCATGCTGTTAGTTTAGCCTGAGAAATTGGTCTTATATGGGTGCAGATCACATGCTGCTCCACTAATCACCTTGAAATGCCAGCAGCCCTGAACACCCAGAGGGAGACAGCAACTCCCTTAGGAGGTGGAACTGAAGGAAAGGGTAAAGGCAAACAAGCCTGAGACCTCTTGGCAGCTTGCTGTGCCTGAAGGACAAGTGTGTGGTGGTTTCTAAGCAAACCCCGATGGGAGTTTGGCAGGGCAGGTTCACTCCCCCTCCCCACAGAATCTGGTTTCTGTCAGAGCCAGGACACCTAAACTGCAGCCCAGCATGTTGTATCCATCTGTATACACACACCTTGGAAAAGGCCATGCATGAAAATACCTTATCAGAGGCAGTTTTATAAATCTGCCAGTGTGCTGGACAAGCACTCTAGGAGGCCCCATCTGGCTGTCAGACTTTGAAGGGAAAGATCATTTTACACTGAAGGGGAATTGTAGTCATGAAATATTCATGCAGTAGTCCAATAAAATGTGGCAAGCAAGAATTTTTGGCAAGTGCTGGTCTTTCAACAACCTTCGGCTATTTTCATGTCGGTAAGCACAGCTCGGGGAGAGAACATCTGACAACATAAAGTCTGGGATTATTCTCCCCCAAACCCAGACCTCAATAGCAGCTGTTTAGCCTGGTGCTTATTCCAGACCTTTTGTAAGCAGTTGCTGACCTTGCTGCAAGCGTGAGGGTGTTGATAGCAGTGTCATGGCAACATTTTGTTTACCTGTATTTCTGTGGTATTAGCAGCCCGTTTCTCCAGCCTTCAGGCTTTTCATTTTGAAACTGGTATTATCACTGATCTCTTTCATGATACACTTCTCTCCTCTAGATTCCTTATATAGAAACCAGTGCCAAGGACCCACCTCTGAACGTGGACAAGGCCTTCCATGATCTCGTGAGGGTTATAAGGTAAGCTGCAAACTCCTCCCTTCCTTGCTGCCCATGGATGGGATGTGCAGGAGTCATGGCTCAGAGAGTCAGGAGCCAGGTTTTCTTGGGGGTGGGATATTTCTGGTGTTTATTAACTTCCTCGTCCTGTATCTGCTTAGGTCTGTTACTAGCACTTAGCTACCCATGCAGGACATCAGTACCATGCCCAGTAAGAAGTAGCTGAAATGAAAATTTTTTGTTCAATGAACAGTGCAAAACCTACTATAATGATCAGCTCTAAAAGGCTGGCATTGAAAGCTCTGGACCAGTAATTTGGGTTTTCATAGTTTTGTCTTCTCAGGGTCTTGGCTTGCTAGAAGTTAAAAAGGACCAGCAAAAAATTCTACAAAATTCTAATGCTGTAGGCGACTTCTAACATTTTCTGCTCACTAAATGGAAAAAATTAAGCTATTTTGTATGAGAAACTGCATGACCTAATGGCTAAGCCCCAGGTTTCCTCAGACTGCAGAGGTTTGTTCCCAGTTCTGGCATGAGCTGCCTTTGCTCGTTTTGGCAAACGCGCTCTCCGGGCGAACCCTTGCTCCTGCTGCCAGCAGGGAGGGACTGCCTTCCCAGAGCCCGGCTCCCCTGCAGGAAAAGAGCTGCACACACATCCCAGCATCTCGCTGATAACCTCAGTTCTCTCTGAGAAGATTGTTTTTCTGGCACTAGTTGTCTGCCAGATTTTCTGGGCCCTCATTCTTCATGTTTTGGGAGGGCGCTGAGCTGAAATCGTGCTCCTCCCTGCCGCGCAGTCAAAGTGCCTCGCCCGGCAATTAAACCACAAGGCATTTATTCACAGCATATCTGTACTTGTGAATATCCTAGCAGAGCCTCAAGCCAGCCTCCATCAAAACCAGATGGTACTGCCCACTCTTCCCACATGTCTCAAAAGCAGAGGGCAGAAAGTCTTTGGAGAATTGAGTTGGAAGTGTCCCAAGCTCTTTCCCAACTGTTCTCTAACTCGGTATTAGTTGGCTGGATATTACTTTTGTGTTGCAGCAAGCTCTTACCACCATCTACTCTGCTCTGCAGGAAAGGAAAACAGCCAAAATAAGATGGAAAGGCTTTGTTTGCTTTCTCCACGTAACACAGCTCCAAGCAGGCTGAAAGGAGTATTGTAATGAGGCATTACTAATTTCAAGCCCTGAAAATGCACTCCATAACCTCAAAAATAAGTGGTACACCTCAGTTTCCTGAGTAGCTAATGTCAGTCCTTGCCAGCCTGTGATGTCAAGGGCACCAGCAATGTTCACAAGAGCTGGAACTCAGGTTAAGTCAGAGAGCAGGAAGATGCTGTGTGATCTGGCTGGACATTGGCCACAAAGCAGCTTTGCTTGGTTTTTGGACGTTACAAATTGTCCACAGTCATGGGTAGCATCACCCATCAAGTGTTGTTTTTCTGGTTTTCAAGTAAGCTTTTTCAAATAAAATGTAAATTTCAGCTCCCTGATAACTGTCATTGACGGAGTGCTTTGCAAATGAAGGGCTTCCTCAGAGCCCTTGTGAGCTCTCGGGGTGAGGATGCTTGTTCAGGGTTGCACTGTTGGTGCTCCTTGCACTTGGCTGATTCCCAGTTTATTTAGCTTCATGCAAGAAGCTGTTGTCTGGAAGTAATCCAGAAAGGAGTGGGGTGATTGAGTCCACTCAAGAGATGTTTTAAATTTCCTGATACCCCTTTTATGCTGCAGCCATGCACACACAGGAACTGTCACAGCAGAAGCCTTGAGCAGGCCCAGGGTGTGGTTTCTGGATCTCTAAAACAGATCCAGAAGAGTATGAACAGCTTGCGGTCACTTAGGGTTTATCCAGATTTAAAGAATTTTCTGAATTGCGTCTTTGTAGTTTTGAGCTTTAAAGTTTTATGGTTTTCATACCTCCAGCCTTCATATTCACTGAGAAGAAGTCTTAATAGTCAGGGCTGAGTTTTTCACGTGGTTGCAAGAATTTGGAAGCTGAGGCTGTAAGAGAAACATCAGCTAAAGTCACAGTGATTTATACCCCAGTAATGTCTCATCCTGGTCTGGATTACTTGCTTTAATGCCTGGTATATTACATGACAAAGAGGCTGCTTTTGAACTGTTCAGACTCTCAGGTTTGAATCTGTGCAAGCTGCTGGTGTCTGTATGTTTTATCTTGCACTGAAATCTACATCTACAGGCTGCCTGTCAGGTGTTTGAGTTACAGAGCCTTCGTTGGATTTGCACTGCTGGGCTGGCAGAGTAGCTGCTGCAGCTGGGTGCAGCTGCAAACAGGCATTTGGGCAGTGCCTCACCTTCCTGGACAGGGAGAAGCCCTGAACAGAATGCTTCAGAGGCTGCTCACAGCTCCAGGGCACGCTGCAGGAGGGCTCTCAGCTGTGTGTTCCTGGTGGCTGTGACTTCAGACAGCCAGGGACATCTGTCTAGGGTCAGCTCATTCTCTGTGCACCAGTGCTCTTCACAACATCAGAGGAAGCCAGAGCCCCTTCAGCAGCAAACGCAGTTCTTGGTTTATTATGTTTTAGCTCCCCTCCATCACCAAGCCTGCATCAGTGCAGCTGGCTAAGGGCAATGCCAGCTGAAAGGCAGAAGAGTGTATTTCCCAGTGCTCTCTGTATCTCTCTCATCTGCTTACCTACGGAGTGTCAGCAGTGTAATGGATGACATTACATCACTTGGAGCATCCCTGTTTCCCAGAGCAGCCCCCATGGCAGGGGAGGAGGCAGCAGTTCACCATGGGCAGCTGGAGGCATAGTGCCCTGGCAGGACATGCATCCCTGCCATTATCCTTAATGGCTTCTTTCCTCCTTCCTGAAGAATACAGGCCAGGCCCAGCAGTGTGGCATGAAAAGCCATGCAGTGCTGGAAGGGTATAGGAGGCATGTATGCAAATATGCACATGCACACCAAGATGCTGCTCTACAGGCTGCCCAGGGCTCTGAATCCAGCCCAGCCGTATGTCTCACCTGCCTGCTTTCTTCTCTGTCTCCCAAAACAGGCAACAGATCCCAGAGAAAAGCCAGAAGAAGAAGAAAAAGACCAAATGGCGAGGGGACAGAGCTACGGGCTCCCACAAACTCCAGTGTGTGATTTTGTGACAGGACACCCTGGGAGTGCCTTGGATGCCTCCCTCCTCCCCTCCTGGCCCCCCAGCAGCCCGGGTGAGGAGCTGCAGCCCGATGCTGATGCCCTCAGGGCCCCGTGGGCTCCCTGTGGCAGCTCAGACCCGGAGCGGGCGCTCAGAGGGGCCGGACCCTGGAGAGGGGCTGCACGCCAGGGCCAGCGTGGGAGCTGTGCCAATGGGAGGCAGCAGGGATCAGCAGGACCTCAACTCTCAAACATCCCCAGCACCTTCCAGGGGCCTCCATGATGTTTATAAAAACAAAACAAAAAAAACAAGGCAGAAGTTAAAAAAAAGTGTTGGTTTTATCTGCAAACATTTCTCTTTGTGACCCATTTCTGAACAGCATTGAATAGCCCCCCTGTTTGGTACAGTTGTCTGTGTATGTGGGGGAAGGGAAAGGGTTTTTCTTTCTCTTAATTTTTTTTTCTCCTCTTCTTCCTTTTTGTTGTTTGCTCAGCAAGTGTTGGGTTGCAAAGAAACAACGGCCAGGCTTAGATTTTTTGCACTGGACTCTCTTGGGCAGCAGTGCCAAAACACAGCTTCATATGAAAGTGCATAGATTTGGAGGAAGAAAATTAATTCCAGCTGCTCTGGGTGCTCCAGACATTGTGTCAGACTCTGGAGGGTTGCCAGCTCACAGACCATAAACTCCAGTTTAGGAAAGGAGGTTTGGGCTTGGATTATACATTTTTTTTCTTACCCTTTGTCAAGAGGTTTTGTTTCTGTTTTGTAACTTTGGACATGTCAAACTTAAGGCATTTTGTTAACCTGAAAGTATTTAAATTAAAGTAATTTACAAATGGAAGGGTATTTCATTTTTGGGGGAGGGGGGTGGAGGGGAAGGGAGAAAGGAAGTAAAATCTGAACTGAATTTGTTATTTGGGTGTTGAATTTCTCCCTCATAAATGCATGTAAAGTGGTGTGATCTAAATCACTCTATTATTCCGTAACCTTTCCCTGCAAAGCCACTCGTGGGTAGATTAATTGTTTTGCTTTTCCCAGGCTCATCTCGCACACACAGGAAACAAAATGTGTTTATGGAGTTTGGCTCAATGTTTCTTCTTCTCCCTCCTTCGCCAAGTTGGTGACTTGAAAGGAAGAGGTGTGTTTAAAATGATTCAAGTGGGATGGGTCTCTTCATAAGCTGACTCTATCTAAAATGTCTCCCTGAAAACAGCAAGGACTAAATATGCCTTATGAAAAGACAAGGCAAAAACCCTGCAAGCATTCAGACTGCCATCTGTAGCACCAGAAATATGGCTGTGCACATCCTGGAGGGGCCACGTGTTCTTTCACACCTTTCCTGGCAGCAAGAGCTGCAGTAGCAAATTTGTCTTTAATGGTATGTCATGTGCTGGATTGAATCCATTCACGTGGTCACCAAATCTGTTTAAAAGTAGCAACTTGCTTTTCATCAGCTTGAATCCTATTCAAATATGCTTTGTGGGCATGATTTAAAATATTGGCAGAGTATGAATGCCCGAGATTTATGTGTCTGAGCACAGAAAATCCTGGTATTGGATATTGAAGACACCCATCCAAGATGATGATCATCACAAACTTAGTTGTCCGTACTTGTCTATTTGCCACCAGATTTCATTTGTCCAGACTTTGTCACAGCCAGAAGATGGCAAAGGCCTGTGGCTGGCTCAGCAAGCTGCTTGGGGTAATGCTGACTCTGCTGCCTCTGTCCCCTTTGGTGTGGTGACAGATGCTGGGGATGGGTTAAGCAGAGGGATATTGGAAAGAAGTGTCTCTCACAGACTCTTAGGTTGGATGTGGGCCATACACTTCAGTAACGTGCTGTGTCAGCTGAGATGTGGCTCCCGACCATGGCAGCATTTCTCCCAGTGCTGGCTGAACAGAACTGCAGCAACTGAAGCCATCCACTTCAAATTCTGGTCTTTGAGACTTGCCTCTGCCTTCTGGAAGAAGATCTCCCTGTAGGCATTTCATTTGTTCTGCTTTGAAAACCTCCAGTAAATCAGAAATTGTCTGATGATCTTTGCAACCACCCCATTTCACCATCACCCCTGTAACCACTTCCCCACCAGAATCCCTGTCTAGCCTGATTGCTGGCTTAATAGTTTTAATTATACACTACTAATGCTATGGGATCCTACACAGAAGAAGATTATGGCAATTTCAGGGAACTCTTTTAATACCCCCTAGAGCCCTTGCACTTAAAAATAACTTGATTTCTGCTGAAACACCCCATCCTTATTATTTTTATCTAAACCCTTGGGAATGCTTGCCTGAAAACAGCATGTGTGTCTCTTGAGTCACATCTGCTGTGTACTCAGCACTGCATGTGAGAAATTATCTGCTTTTTCTAAAGCTTCTTAATTGTTTCTTCAATTCCTTTAGCAACCAACAGCTATTGCAGAATAATGGAGAGGAGGAGGAGGGGAATGGAGCAGATTAACAACAGAAAATGGAGTAGTGGCCAGTGGGGAAAGCATGGCTGTTTTCTTGTACATTCATCAGCTTGTTTGTAGCAAGGAGTGTTTTCCAGCAGGGATTGTATCTCTGACAATTCTAGGGTGCTGAAAATAGCAAGGTATACAAAGCCTTCTGCCACCTAACCCCCCCTGTCATATTCAGGGCTGTTGGGAAATAGAGAGCACAGCACCTACAGACCTGGTAGGGAGACACCAGTTGGTGACATAACAACTGTGCTGTGGGTGGCTTCTATTTTCCTATGGAGCATCCAGTGGATAGGGACATTTTTGTTGTGGTCAGGGGCAGTCTGGAGGTAGATCCTGTAAGGGCACACATGGGACTCATTGCCAAAGAGCTGATGGTCCAAGTGACCTAGCATCATCTGATGTTAGACCTGACCTTGCTTTCAACACACAGTTTCAAACAAAATAAAAAGAGAAGTAAAACCTTACAGATTTTTTGGTATTTAATAGCTGAATAACCTCCTTTTTCTATTTTAGACATTGAATAACATTTGTAGAACAACAAACCATTAATTAAGTTTTGGCTTTGCAAAGGTGTCATCACCTCCCTGACCTGGGATCCCATAGCATCTGTACCACTGCCATCAGGTAAATCATGTTGCTGTTTCCTCTCTCAGGTCCTGCCTATAAAGCAGCCACTGGCTCTGTTTTCTTACCAACTTCTGAGGTGCAGGACATTTATTGCACCAAGCCAAGTCACCTGTTTGTCTGTTGACCCCATGTCTCTCAAAAGGGGGTTGGCAAAGAAGAAAAGGAGAAGTACCTGGTTGAAATAGGTACATATTCCTTTGGCATGGGCAGAGTTTAATTGTCCCTCTCTGCCTGCCAACTCTAAATGGCACAAAAGCCTGATAACAGCCAAACCAAACACCACCACCCCAAAGCTGAGGAGGCCTGCAGGTGGTGGCCACCTACGAACCTGCTGTCTTGGCTGCCTCAGCCAAGGCCAGGGCTGTTACTGGCAAGGCTGCTCTGTGATAGCCTGGGGACATATAAATAAACAATGTTCAGATGATGGTGCTCAGCAGCAAAACACTGGAGATGGTGAACAAGAGAAGCAAGTATTTACAAGGGGCTGAAATTGCTTGGTTTGGATCAGATGTTTCAGTTTAACAAGAGGCTATTGCCATTTGTTGCTCGGTTCCTTAATCTGCAATAATTAATTTTGGCTGGCTCTTTTAACCTACAGCTGTACTAGAATTTGCAAATTAGGACAGGCTGAGGGATTTTGACATACATGGTGTGTCTCATCTGGAGAGGAAATGACCATTATTGGGCACAGAGAGGACAGCATTGTAATGCTGGGTCAGATTTTTTTGTTTAAGCTTGTTACCATCCTCAGGCCAAAATGGACTGCCCAGAGGCTTGTTCAGCTCCAGTGATTTCAAGGGATGCTCCTTAAATGCTGCTGAAGTGCTTGAGAAGAAGGTGATTCCCCTCAAAGCTCTGCTAAGAGTAGAATATAATGGGGAACACAGAAAATACTTTGAGGCACAATTCATGGTCTACTCCAGATGTCAGAGTTCAGATATTTGTTAATGAGGAAGAGAAGGCTTGAGAGAAGTTTGGCATTAGGGAAATAGCCAAGGCCTGTGACAACTGCCACATCAACCTGTGTACCTTGGAATGGACAGAAGAGCTGTCTGGAAATCTGCTTTCTGTGAGCTGGGGTCAGTGGCCAGCCTACTCTATCTGCTGCAGGCTGGGCAGTAAGGAGGAGCTTCAGTGCATTTATTAAGGACTGAATTACAGTGCACAGAATCACAGTGAAAAGGAGAGGAAGGATGCTGTGGCATGGGAAGTGTTGCTGTTCTTGGTCACTGCTCCCTGTGCTGGGAGGTCTCCAGCAGTCACACAGGCTCAATTGAGTGTTCTGCATTTATGTATTTAATGCCATCTGAAGGTGCCTGGGCTATCCAGGGCATTTACCTGTGAGTTTCAGCTGTAACACAAGACCTATGGGAAATCTGGGCCCGTCTGGAGCAGCAGCCACCAGCCAGGCAAGGATTCACCTGAGCACCTCAAATGGCTCCACACGTGTACCTTGGGCAGCCAGAAGGTGCTTTGAGTCAGTGGATATTTCAGGAGTCTGTGGACACCCTAGTACTTCTCCTGCAAAATGATGTTACCTGTGTTTTAGGTGATGATGCATCTGGACAAAGTCTGAAGTAGAAGTCATCAGTTTTTTGAAATGTATGAATTGCATTTTGCAGCCTAGGCAATCTCATGAGTATCAGTTGCACAATTAGGCTGTAAATAATTCAATATTTGGCTATCAGAGATTCCATCAATATTATGCAGGCCTTTTGCTTCCTTTTCTCTCGCATGCAAGGGAAAGAAATATTTCATAGATGATCTCACAGATGGTTTCTGGGATGATACAGGACTTGCTTGCAGCAGGAGACCAGGGAGAGAGATGCCTGCATGTGCTGGATCCCATGATGGGGAGGCAGGAGGAGTTACAGCAGCACAGAGGTAGGCTCTGGTCTGAGGGGGTTTCCCACCACTGTGGTAAATCACTGCTGCTTCTCTCCAGCTCCAAGAAGTCACTTATGAGTGGCCGGCAGGTCAAGACTTCCTGAGGCAGAGGAACATGTAGGCATTGTGTCCCTGCTGTGCCAAAGGGAGGGACCAGGGAAGGAAGGCTCACACCCAGCAGTGGGACCTGCCAGGTGGGTGAGTGCAGGGGTTACTGCTGATGACAGGAGGGGGATGTTCAGCAGTGCTGAGTATGGAGAGACAGCCAAAATCCCCTAATCCTGGCAGTTCTGGGACAGCTTTTTAATTCTTTTGAATTCGGGGATCCCTTTGCCAAATCCTGGGGGATCAGCAACATCATGCCAAGCCAAACACAGCAGTCTGGCTTGCCACAAACATGGGCTCCTCTGGTTTCCATCCCTCCTGCCAGGTCTCTCTCATGCAGACCAGGAGATGTACAGCATTGTCTGAGAGCTCACACTGGATATTTGGTCAGATCCAGGAGCCCAAGAGAGGGACTCAGGCAACATCCTGGATTTGGTCAATAAGAGAGCAGGAGTAAGAGGTGAAGGAAGGAGCTTTGTGAAACAGGACCCTGTTCTGTAAAGCCAAATCCTCTGCAAATCTGGGCAAGAGACATTGTACAGCTTGTGATTAAGACAATCTCTGCTGAGAAGTCAGCCCAGCTGAACGAGTCACGAGCTGCTCCTGGGCTGCCCCACACAGAGGTGGTTATCATGTGGCTGCTGTGACAGCAGCTCCTCTCACTGCACAAGTCAGGCCCAGCCAGCCCAGACCCATGCAGATACTGGGCATGCCTCTCTGCAGCTCAATAGCCCGTGTCCCCACAAAGCAGGGAGCTCTTTTCTGCCAGCTCCATAATAAGAGCTGTGTTTCGAACAACAGTCCCTGGGATGGAGCCGACAGCAAGCAGGAAATTCAAAGTTAAGGCTGATGCTCCGGGCTTTGCTCACACAATTGTTGAGGTCGAACAAAGCACAATGATGTGAGCTGGGGACAGGGTGCTACTCACCCTCCCCTGGGAGCTTCCTGCCTTGCCTTGTCTCATCCCAGTCTCCAAACTTTCATAAAAGCTTGT